CAGTTTTTTCTGCTCTATGCGCTCAACTTGTCTTAAAGAGCTTGGGATGTGGCCAAAGCTTCATCACTGTCCCTGCACGTTCTCAGCAGCCCTGCTGCTCTGTGCACTCAAATTGCCATTTCGAGCTCGGGATTTGGCCAATGCCTTGTCAGAACATCATTGCACGTTCTCATTGGTTCTGCTGCTATGTGTACTCATCCAATCATTGGACGTTGGGAATGTGGCGAACGTGCCATCAATTCTTCTGTGTCCTTTCTCGGGATGAGGATGTACGAATGTTTCATGTTCTATTGCTCTGTGCTAGTTCTGTGCGAGGCTTCTCGTGATTTTTTCTAGTAGCACGTGCATCTTATTCTTGAGCTGAAATCTTGGAAAGGGTCTATCTGTATCTTGTTCAAACCTTATTATCATTGTAACACTGACTGTTGTCTTCTTGCGGGTTTCTTACATGGATCAACAGCACTCGCTCTTTCCGTCACTTTTTCCAACATTTTAAAACAAAAACAAAAACAAAAAAAACTACAAGAAAAACTAAAACAGTGCGTGACCTCAAAATCTAAACTATGTCGAAGGGGACGTAAAATATTAACGATCGTCCCCCGCCTATCAGGAAGGAGCTCATCGGTGAGAATGACGCCTCGTCCCCTGATGTACTTATACCGCCGGAGCCACTCACAGGTCAAAAGGAAAAAAATAGGCAGGGCCAGTCTTGAAGTTCGGCCAGTGTCCAGCCCTGCCCCCAAAGCTGTGAAGAGAGTGCGTTACGTGTTTCCTGAATCCTGGCTTTGGACCAGTGGTCAAGTAGGGTGAGTGAGTGACCTCTACGTAGCCTGAACTTCCGAAGAACCACCGCACTCTCCAAGACACCCTAAATTATCAACAAATATTTCCTGACACCCCATCTGACCACAAACCTCTCCAAACACTCCTTGGGATCACCACACCTTTCAAACTCCCCTGAGTGTGCCACTACACTTCCCGAAATACCTTAGTGATCACTATACATACCGAAACTCTCCGTGTGGCCGCTAATCTGTCAAAACTCTCCGAATGACCACTTGTAATTATAATAAAGGATTGCATTTATATAGCGTATATCCACTAATACAATGCTCTATGCGCTTTAACATAAAACATGTTAATGAACTACAAATCAATGCTATAGGCACTTACACTCCAAATGCCCTGAATGACCACTTCACCCTCCAATCTCCCTGAGTGGACACTACACTTCACAAACACCCCGAATGACTACTATACTTCCTGAAATAGTCGAGAGACCACAACACCTTCCAAATTCTCTGAATGACCACTACTCTGCTCATATGTTTCTCTCCTTATTCTCCCGCACGTGTACTCATGCGAAAGTCTTCTTTTGCGACGACAGACTCACACTCACATCAGTGCAGCTAGCTTACGGAGCGAAAAATGCAGTAGATGATCATTGGAGTCATAGATTTGTATTCCTAAAACGCTCACTGCCACGGCAATCGCTTTTTGCTCCCTACAAAAACTTCGCTGCGAAGCGTGCGCACCATCGATCGTGCCCTTAGATCTAGATCTAGATCTACGTCCAAAGGAAGAACTAAACACACGGAAAAGAAGTAGGACCTACTTTAGTTCTAGTTAAAGTTTTATGGCACTTGCAACACAATTAGGTCATATAAGTGCCAAGAATTAGAGGTTTACAAGAGAGTAATAACCACTTAAAAGAAGGAGGAGAGATCAGGACGACAGATGTTTGGAAGAAAAGAAGGAGCAAGTCACATTATAGCACACGCCAACCACCCACAAGTAAGACGTATCAATAGCGATCCCCAACCGCTTACTACTTCACCGAAAGATGGGATTACCAAACTATTGTCCACGGGCCCGACCCAGCCCTCGAGCCAGTTCGTCTGAAAGAGAGAGTTACAGAAAGAGAGAACGATAGAGAGAGAAAGGACGAAAGAGGGGGTGAAAGAGAGAAAGAGAAAGAAAAAGCGAGAGGAAGAGAAAGAAAGAAAGAGAGAGAGGGGAAGGGAGAGAGACACAGAAAGACAGAGAGAGAGAGAAAGAGAGGGAGAGGAAAGGAGATAGATAGATAGATAGATAGATAGATAGATAGATAGATAGATAGATAG